TGTGTGTACATACCTTCAATTTGAGACCTCAATCATGAAAATTGGTTGGGTAGAAGAGCCAAACGAACTCGGAAAAGAAACCCAATGTTTTTAAATCTATAAGATATACCTTATTTTACGCTTTTACCTATTTCCCTTCAGTCGTAAAAGTGAATATATTTCAATGTTAAAAAATTTAAAATTATAATCAAATCAGAAAAAATAAAATTCTGTAAAAAATAGAGTTTTGGGACAGCTGTTTAGTAATGAATCTTCCAATTTATCACCATTTCAAGTCAATGTAAAGGGCTATTCAGAATTATGGATCCAACTTCATGTTTTATCTCGTACTAATTTAACTAAATATACTAATTTATAAATATATTTGCGTTTAGTTTCGCTAACCAGATTTATTAACAAACTAATTCTAGTATATTATTCACTAGGTTCATGATCTAGACACTATTTATGGTGGAGTAAGTTACTAAATGACCATATTTGTGCTTATGAGTGCCTATAAGACACTGAAAATATTTTATAATAATAAAAAAAAAATTATTGAAGGAACGTTGTTTGACATAGGTAAGTGAACAATTAAGATAGCACGTAATATAAAAAGTCAACAAAAAGTAATTTATTCCATCTTACAATTACAAAATTTAATATTGTCGGCCTAATTGATATATCTAATATGAAGGGTAGGAATTAGACTAAATCAATAAAAAACTTTAAAAAATAAAACATAGAACAATAGGAACAATAGATTAACACGATGAAAAAAAACATGTTCAGAATACAAAATGAACAGTTGACAAAGGAAATTCATATTAAACATAATGCTTGAAATTATATTACATTTATATTATATTAGGGGTTCGTTGGGCAGCCTTCTAGCCTACCAAATCTAGTAATAATCCTAACAAACTTTATGCGAACTTCGAGTTCTTATTACAGAGTCAATTTCTTGCTTTCTTGGCTCAGGGAGCTCCTTCATTCTCTCCTTTGTTTGTATCATCATTTAACCCAATGTCTTCTTTATCAGACCACTTTTAGAAAGTGGAGGGAACCTCTAGTTCTTCTTCATCCTCAGAGCCATCTTTAGAGATTCCATTCCGGCAGTTCCCCTGACAGTTTTGGCATGCTGGTGAACATTTGAGGTTTGCCTTTTTGCAGCTACACTTTGCGCTGGTAGTCTTCGGCAGAAAATCATTTTGAACATATCTTCTGGTGCAGCTGCTAACTCATTGTGCACTGGAACCAGACAGCTGTTCTCCGTCTTCCACCCATACATCTCAGAAGGCAGGTCATTTCCCAGCCACTGCTGAACTTGGTGGAATGTTCTTAGGGAATGTTTTACAGCTCCCTCGGTGGGAGGAAGACATGAAATATCAGGCTTAATAGTAGCCACTGATTTCAAAAATTACTTGTATCTGTATGCATTAAGATACATACAGAGCTTAATTGTAAGCTTTGTTGTAGCTGACCTCTTTCACTGGAGCACCATACCATCTCAAGATGCAGATGGTAGAGAAAGGGTCTGAAAAGACCGCTGCTGCTTTCTCGACCTCTGTTGACTTAAGATACAGCTTCACAAATCCGACCTTGTTTTTGCGAAATGCAGAAGACGTTGTATCGCTTCCTGTAAAAGCGTATAAAAACAATATGTCGTCAAATCCTTGAGACGAGAAGAGGAAATCCCTTATCTTTCCACGTCCAGGCTTGATAAAAATAATGTCCTTATCATCATCAGATTTTGCCATCAGGAGAACTATAAGGTCAACATCTTCTCCCACAATGCTACAGCTATGTATTACAATGCTACATATTAAGGTTCGTTCACCTATGTTAAACATTGACTTGAAAGGGTGATAAATTGGAAGATTCATTACTCAACAGCTGTCCCAAAACTCTATTTTTCACAGAATTTTATTTTTTTTCATTTGATTATAATTTGAAATTTTTCAACATTGAATTATAATCACTTTTACGACTGAAGGGAAATAGGTAAAAGCGTAAAGTAAGGTATATTATTGAAGGGAATTTAATTGCCCATAATCCACTGGCCAGCACTTATTTTTTTTAATACATAGATAGAGAGTTATCTGGTCAAAAAAGACAAAATTGTTTAGGAAAAACTGAATTTTTTTGAAATTTCTGACTTGTAAGTGGCGATAACGCGAAAACTAAAGGAGATATCGAAAAATAGTAAATTAAAAACTTGCTGGAAATTTAATAAGCTTCACATGGTTTCCGAGATATCAGCAAAAAACTTAAAAGTTGTACCTTCAAGCCCCCCCCCCCCTCCCCTTTAGCACAGGTGCTAAGGTCGGGAACTTTTGATATGTTCACCTCCTAACTATGCTAAACAACACTGCGAAGTCAGAAATTGTGTTCCAAAACTTTCCCTCTATAACCTTTTGTTGCCTGGACTTATTCCTTAGGCACTAGAATAACATAATAGCCTGTTTCCGTTTCAAAAACCCTTAAGGGAAGCGGTCCTATGGCCATTTGCAGTTTACATGTTAATCTTATGGAAGAATGTTTTATTTTGTTTACCATGCCATGTTTGTCATTTCTTGATTAAATTAAATTAAGGAAAAAGCTGTTTGTAATGATAACCTAATTTTTAAGAAAAAATCTATGCATAACAAATGAGAGCTATCAAATAGGTTTCTATTCCATTTGTTTTTTACGAATATTTGTTGTCAAATGTAACTGAAGGCAAGTGAGCGCAGTGAACGAGCTCCAACCTAAAGGTGAGTGAGCGTAGCGAACAAACTTCAACCAGGACGTGATTGAGACATGCGAACGAGTTCATCTTGAAAATGAACGAGCATTTGACATAAAACCACATTAGGACAGGACGACGTCTGTCGGGCCAGCTAGTTTGGAATAATTAGACAATAAAAAATATGTAACAAAGAAAAGTCCGCTCCAGGGCGGCAAGCACCAAGGGGCGGGGGCGGCACTAGGCTAGGATTTTTTTCTTCTACTGTGTTGTTGTTTACTATTGTAGGAAGGTGAAGGGGGAGGGGGGAGTCACTGATCAATCAAATAAATAAGTAAATACTGAATACTGTAGTAATTTGTGAGGTTATGTTTATAGTGCCGCGCGCCGGTATTTGAGTTGTTAATTTATTAATACACCACTGTTTCTTTAGAAGTGTTGTTTAGTGCTAATAATGAATTCGGTTAAAAATATTTCTATGAAGTATGCTTGTGAGGTGGTAAGGTTTGAACAGAGAGTTGAGTTAAAGGGGCTAGGCCCGCCAAAACCTGATTTAGTTATTACACAATGTCAAAAATCCTGTAAAAGTAGGAAAGGATTTATGTTTGTACTGTTCAATTAGCCTTAGATAATGCCCAAACAGGCATTATCTTCCAAGTGCTTTAATGTCACCGACATCTACCCACCATTTGTAAATTAGAGTCCCTTGCCTTAGTTACCGCTGTTTACGTGCACTTGGTAAAGCTATCCTGTTTTGAGGAGATTTCTAAGTAAGGATAAGTCCTGTCCAATGAACTATTTTAAATTCATGTTTTTGTTTTCAAACACCATGATCAAATAGGTTAAATATAATAAACCCAATTAAAATACCAATTTATGTTTTAAAATTATCATGTCTAGATTGCATAAAAACGCTAGTTTACAGCTATTATTTTTCTTTTTTTCCCCCGGTACTGGGAGGGCAGCTTTGCTCCAGGGCCCTCCAAACCACCATAAAACCGAAAGATATCTAGTTGTCAATGTAATATTGAATTTAACCTTGGTTTAGTTTGATAAGGAACATAATATAGCCTTTTTAAGAAAAAAAACCTGTTTGTCAGTAAATCCTCAGTAGGATCACTGTTGTGGTTCAGCTGAAAATATCATCTAAATAGTCTGTGACTAACTAATGCTGCTACCTTGTACGCATTGAACAACTAGGTTGTAGCGCCGTCAGGTGCGCTATCTGTTAGCAATTGTTGATGTCAGCTTAAGTACCCAGGTTTTACTCCATATTCTCCAAGCACAGATAGCCGAGAAGTGTAGGGCATGTGTCACTTGGCCAGTGGCATTCGTTTGCTCAAGTTTGATTCCCGTCCTGTGTGGCAAATAATTGGTGACCTGTGTGTTTGTAGCGATATACTACAACCACCAGGGCATAGTGAGGTATTCATAATCCTTGGTTTAGACATACAGCTTGAATTATCTGATTGGGTGAATCTTTTAGCTATGTGGTTGTTAGTGTATCCTATGAACATGCAGGTCACCAATTATTTTGCTACTTTGAGTTAAAATAACCTTCCTCTCTATATCCCTTAGAGATTGTAGTAAACAATGATATATCGTTGCATAGCACTCAAAGGATTAAGTGAATTGCACTAATCAACAACACATATATGGTCATGTGGTCGTTTGCCTTGTATAGATTTCGTGCATGTCAGTTATATTAGCTGTACAAATATATTAAGCTGCACAATAAACGTAGAGTGTGGTAAAATATGGTGTACAAGAATACACACAATACGGTTTTCGAATACTCTATACTGTACACATTTTAAGTGTCTAATTGACAAGCCGGGGTTGCATGGTGCGGCAACGGTCCAGCTGTGTGGTGTATAAGGACTAAGGAGTGTTAAGATCTGATAATATTGGAGACAAGATTGATGTGACTCTATTGTACAATGTTTTGGTATAACAGACGCACCACTTGTTGAAATGTAGCCCCATTAGTGTGCTAATGTGAGATGCAAAATTATATACATGCTTGTTTCTAAATCAAGGCTAGTAGCCTAGGTGGTTTAATGATTCGTATGAATAACGTAACTGAACTGTAAAATACAGGACTAGTTTCAAAAGGTGTGAATGACAAAACAAGATTTCTGTACATTACCAATGAAACATAAAACAAACAGATGTGGTTTGTTGTTGTTAATTGTAGCCACACTATAAGATTAAATTGAAATAAAAACTGTTTAGTACAAAGTCCAATGTAGTGATTTTGGTATTAAGGGATAAGAAAACAAAGTAGTTTGGGTTGGACCACATTTATAGAAGAATACATTAATGCTACCACTACGACATTAATCAAAAATTAATATAATATACAATATCTAAAATAAACTAACAGCAGTCTTTAAAAATGATACATTTTGATAATAGTCAGTCCTAATTACACATTAAGATTTTTAGTTTGACACCTATATAAAATGTTTTACTAATACATATTTAAGTTTGTAACAAAGAAATTAGCTGATGCAGTTTAATCAGAAGACAGTAAACGTTAAAAACTTGTACAATCAACCGCCAATTATTTCAAGTATAAAACGAGAACAATTTATATTTGAGACAGAAACATATTGTAACATTTAAGTATCTCTCATGACAGTCTATCAGTTAACCAACAAAAGTAGGTTACAACTATTTATAATCTGACACATACAGCTAAACATATTAAGGAACTTGCAGGCTGATACTTCATACTTGTCTGTACACATTAAATACTTTTACATCACATAGACTGATAGAAAAAAGGATAATACAACTTTATTTACAAAAATGAAAATATACACATTATTTAGCTTATTTTATAAAGTCGAGTTGAACTGTAAGAAGTTTTAATGCATAGTATGGTATGACGTTGAATTGTTCAATCATGTGAACAGAATGACCTATTTTAACTACTTTTGACTTTTACGTTTTATTGACTTTATATAGTTTTAAGGTGGCAAAACACAATGGCTTTACCATTGATACTGACTTATTATGAGTAACCCACAATAGTCAATGGTTTTAGTAATAGCACCAGAGTCATTCTATCAACTATCGGTACCAGGAACAGATTGATTCAAAAAGTAATTCCCAACCTTGTTTGCAAAAACAAACAAAAAATTAAAGTATCAAAACAAACATGTGATTAAAAAACCAATAAAACTCATCACTCGTCTCGTAAAAATTTGATTTTACACAATGGCATAGTGACTTTTTAAATGACACACACTTATTTAATATTTTTTTCTCCGTACAAAAAGGGAAACACGATTGTAGATATGTACTTAGCAATTATACCAACTCAACAATAATGACACAAATGTACAGTTGTATTTATTTACAGTTATTTACATGCGAGGAACGCCACTACGACATGAGCTCCGCCACACTCTGACTCAAGGCTGGGTCGTCTGCGTAAATGTGGGTGGGGAGGCCAGGGTTGTCCTGACCTGCTTAACAACAGAGCAAACATTGTCAAATATCAACATTGTGCAAACACATCAAAGGATTTATTTTTTATATTGAGCTACTTGAGTTATTTAGTATGGCAATTATTTTTAATGAACAGCTTTAGTTTGACCAAAAATAAAATGAGCAATTTTAGAGTTTAATAATGTATTTTTTTAAACAATTAATTGTATATATATATAGTTTATATTTTTTGAATTTCATAACAAGTTTTATTATTTACAAGATGATATTGTATCCAGAAAAGTTTTTTAATATGCATATAGTCGATTAATACATAAGTGAATTTCAGACTCAGCCTGCACACTAAAGTTGCGTTACAAATATAAACACTAGATTTAAAATACATTAAATCCTACCCTTGCAATTTAATTATTTTAGATTTTTGTACAATAACTTAGTATAATTTTACCAAAAGCACTATTACCCAACAAATACAGCAAACTTGAAGCAAAAAGCAACTATTCTGTACTTAAGACCTTCAAAACAATAAGTTCCACCCAGTTGATTGTTTCAACAATGTTAGTTTTCAATTTGACTACATAAACATGGTGGTAACCGTAGTGATGAGGTGAGAGAAAGACATGCTAGGTGCAGATGTGATGAGTAACACAAAGACCCACCTACACTGGGGCGCCTACGCCTACTTGTACTAAACCCTGCCTAACCTCACTTTCCTCACCTGAAACCAGCAAAGTAATACATGAGTCACCCACCGACAGTCGACACTTGACAGCACAACTAACTATTTTGTCAGAGGCGTTTTATCCGTCCCAATTATTTTCATAACAAATCATTTTAAATTTGTCTACTTTACCCCATGTCTTTTATTTAGAGTGGGTTAAGATTTGAGAATGATGGTATATCTATAAAATACAATATGTATTTTTAAGCATCTCATGCTAATAAATGAGTCTTCTCTTTAATACCCAGGTTCAAATCCTAACAACCACCATGGCTTTGGGCTATGTGACAGTGGCGCTACCTGAACATCGGGCAACAACTTTGACGTGACCTGATGGTCAGGCAACAACTTTCTCCAACTGACTCTTTACTTTAAGCTACAAACAGTGGCGGTTCCAAGGGGGCCTTCCCCCTAATGGAGCCTGGAAATATAAATTTAAACATAATTATTTGTCATAAAAACCTAACAGAGGCTTTTGAACAAAGTTCTAGACTTCTAGTAAATTTTCTGGGAGAGGGCCCCTTGCAGCCCCTCCTGGTGTAGATTACCCCCGCTATCCCCCCCCCTTGACAAGGTTTGAGAACTGCCATTGGCTACAAAAAAATCATGTGCTATTTACATTTTCACAAAATATTTTTTGTCACATTGCAGCAAAAACAGCTGTTTTTAAAGATGTGTTGCGGGTATAACGTAGCTCTTTTACTCCCTAAGAGTAAATAGTTATTTGTGTAACTAGTGGTGAAAGTGGCACTTTGCTGCACACGAGAGCAATGTTTACGAGAGGAATGATCTTGAGTGCAGCAAAGGCCTTTTTCACTCGTGTTACACATTATATTTTTCCTACAGTCACTATAAAGCATATAAATAATTAGTCTTTCAAACACTATACAACACGTTTTTAGGTTCAGCTGGCAACACAAATAGGTGTCCTAGAGAAAGTAGTACCCGCGGTCTGTATCACTCCGCTATTTTTCCTCGGCAAGAAATGTGTTCCGCGTTTTGAGAATATAGTTCCGTATGTTTTTGTAATTTGAAGTGGTTTCCGCGCCTAAAAAAATGCTTTAAAGGTATTTTCTTGTTTATTAAGATCGTAGGAATGTTTTAAAAACGTTTAAATGAAAAGTCCAGAAAGTTCAGAAATGCCTAAACTATAAACACGAAATGACAGGTTAAATCGTAGTTATAATAGTCAATCAGCTGCTCATAGTATTATTATCTTTAAGTGTTGCCAACCTATTTCCAAGCGTACACGGATTACGTGCATAATAGAACCACGCTGTTTTGTGTTGTTTCGTTGGAATCCTGATGTGCGGCAAAGTATAAACCGTACGGCAAAGTATAAATATGCAGCAATTAGCAGCTTTCTGTACTATAAACAGTACAAGGAAGCCAACTTTGTCGGGTGACTGTAGGAAAAAGACTTTTTAGTCCCTTGGAGGTAAAAGTCAACTGTTGTAAATGTCAAGGCAATCACATGTATCAAAATTATGCATGGATTGATTTAAGATTTATAAATAACTAGATAACCGTTGTTCAAAATCAAGCAAAACTGAGACTTGTATTAAAAGAATAAAGAAAAAACATAAACAGCAAGACCTTAATCAAAGAGTCACTCTGAAATAATTTATATGACTGATTATAGAATAAAAAATATTATTATGTAAAAAATATAAAAGTAATCTACAATATTTAAATTTACATTCACTCTCATACTGCTTTGGTGGATATCTCTTATGTATAGTAGGCGGGTGCACTCTATGAGCACGTAGATGTCAACCACACACTGTAAAGTGAGTTTTTGACATAATGTAGCTCAATTCCTCTCTTGATGCCAACCATTACTACTCTTATTCTAGCATTGTTAAATTATTTCTACGATATGTTCTGTTTTAGGCGTGTTTAAATTAGGGGCCCCAACCCAAGTGTCTTCAAAGATTTGCAAATGGGCATTGTGCCCCTATTTCCCGCATATTTTTTCATTGCATTTTTTATTTGAATTGTGCTTAATTCTCCTTTGGGTTCTAGTGACATTATTGTACTTGCTTATATATCTATGCGTATTTAGGATCATCACCTTCTTGAGAAATTAGAGGACCTACTCGGTGGTAAAACTTGTCATGAATCTTGAAATTGTCGATCCCCTGTGGGATTTTCTCATCTTAATGAGCTTCGGAGCTGACCATGGTAAAGGCAGAATTGAATTGATGAATTTTATCCAAATAATTTCTGAATATAAGTCTCACAGTCCTTTTTTCAGATTGGGAGTTTCCAATAAGATCCTGAAGATATGGTGAATTGCACAAATGAGGTAAACGAACCTTTCATTTGTGGCAACAAAGAGTAAAAACTTAACTGTCTCGGCCAGTCTTTTCTTGATTAAAATGTAAGCCACTACAATGTAAACATTTAACGTTCATTTGTCCGAGATTGGGTGTATCACAACGGTGGTACTACCACTATGTACCCGTCAAATGTTCAATTGAGAGGTGATGCAAGCGGTCATGTTTGCGTTCCCTCAAGCCACTCAAAGTTCTTCGTCGTACTGGCAGCATTTGATTTTAATTTGAAATGAAATAAGAAAGTTAACCAAACAACAGAAAACACTATAAAGGAATTGGAGTTTTGATACACATTGTAAATTACATGATAATATGTTAATGTAACGGATAACTGCCCTGTGAATAATCACTTTTAAACATTCACTTCATTGCATCGAACTGTAACTACATGATAATCAGTAAAGTACGATGTAAGGTAAATCAATTTATCCATAGTCAAAAAGAATTAAACATTTATTATTTATTCTTTTTGTCTATGATTTAACTATTACAAACACTTTGTTGTCTAGTATTGCTGGGAAACTCTTTATTATGAACCAGACTTAGTTAACAGATTTCTAACAAAATATAAATTCTAGCTTTGCTCTGAAAGTTTTAAGTCCTGGAGTCTGTGGTTAACCTTAAAAACTATTTCAAACTATGTCCATATGTTATTTGTAAACAAAAGGAAATGAGTTTGATCTAATGTCAACAGATAGTGCCGCCTTCCAAACTTTAGCCCTCAAGTGTACTTGAGTGGTGCCCTTTCTTAATATTCTTAGACGTATTTGCACATCTACATGAAAATACCCTTGATTTGACACCTCAAACTTTAAAATCCATCAAGCCGTTATTGAGTTATGACTGTGAAAAGAAAACTGCTTGCGTATTAATATATAGATAAATGTAGAATTTAAGGTTGTAGCTTATTGTTGCATTCTTATCAATAGTTCGTCATATCAATAGTACAATGTTTAGTCTACACAATCGTAACAGACTAAATAATTGAATAATTTACTAAACAGCTGCTTGTTTACATTAGCAAAATTGAAAACAAGTCGGAAGTCGTTTTGAGAGGTCATCTTTACATAGTTTTTTACCTTAGTCTGCTTAAATAATAGTGCTTAATATGATGAAAAATATAATTCATCACACAGACAAAAGGTGTCTTTTTAATCCTCCCTTATTTCCCGACCTCGGCTTCGCCTTGATCATTCAAAAAGAGTCACTTTACACCCTAGTGATAAAATGTTTATTTATGAGCTAAACATTTGTAAGAAAAGTAAATATTTCATTAAAAAAAACAATAGGACTACCAATTTTAAGTATTTTTGGATTTTGACTCATATATATAGCATACAAGTTTTCTACAAGGGTGTTATAATGTTGATCGCTCTTTGGGATCAGGGCTGATTTTTAAATGGGCGAGGGAGCAGTTTTAGTTCTGTTGAGGGCGCAAAAAAGAGAAAAATTACCTCTCAAGGTAGTTGGAGAGGAACGCAAATAAATCAACCTGCTAAAATAGAATCATTTTAACGAATTTGAAGCCCTAAGGAAGAAAGAATGCCTCAAGAAAGTAAAATAACCTGGAAGAAGAAGGGTTTAAATAAGTGATAGTAAGTGAAGATGGGGGGAGAGCTTGATGGGGGCAAACACATCTACAGCCCTGATCATACAAGAATCAACTCTTTCACACGTGCTAAAACAAAACTAATACTGGAGTAAGCTATCATCAAGTATTATTTCCAGGTAACCATCAAAACCCCACAAGGCCAGTGCCGGATTTACCACTGGGCCAATTAGGCGCAAGGGGGCCACAGAGTATTGGCAAATAAAGCATTTTTTTAGAACAAACAAATTTTTATTTATCTAAACCATCGGATTGACGCTATCACAGGTTACGACAATGATGTCCCCGTGATTGCAGCCCGTGGGAGATGTTCACGATTATACCACAGTTGCGGGTGTCGGTGACAATATTCCTTTAATTTATGGCAAGTGTTCACGATTTCTCCATGATCGTGGGTGACAATGATGATTTCCCCGAGATTGTGGCCCACCGGAGATGTTCACGATTTCATCCATGATCGCAGCAGGGGACGACGACGACAATGATAATAATCGTGGGAGATTTTCATGATTTTGCCGCGTTTGCGAGTGTTGATGATGATGTCCCCTTGATTGCGGCCCGAGGGAGATGTTCTAGATTTAATCCACAATTGCGGGTGAGGATGATAATGATGATGATCGTGGGAGATTTTCACAATTTCACCACTATCACAGGGGATTTCCACCATAGGGTTGGGTGCCGCTCAAGTAATTTGGCCTAGGGCCGCAAGTACCTTAAATCCAGCACTGCACAAGGATATTAAAAATATTAATTGATAGATTTGAGGAAACGTCCCAAGTATTTAGTGAATGCTCTGTTAACATGTTGGCCGCACATGACGAGTCATATCATCACCGCCAGTACGTTTAGTCGGAACGAGTATAACCGTCAAAGCGCCGTTTACAAACTATTGTTCCAGTGTGAGGTTAGCCATTGCCCTGAGACGGACGTTGTTTTGCTTGCCGTTTATTGTGCCAGTTTTATACCTCAATTCGTTTTCAGATCCGAATATTTTATCGGTAGTGGGGACTGTTCCAAATATTATTGTAGTGTGGGGTTTAGGCTTGAATTTATTGACATTGAATAGAACAATGATAATGACTGTAGGAAGGAAATTAGGTTCCTTACATTGTGGAAGGAACCTAACCTCAAAATTGTATTGAACCCTTTTTGGTAGTATTTTTAAATGGTGTATCCGGGTACTTTGCCCATGCTTTTTCCTTCCATTTGGTCATACTGAAGGCCTGCTAGGAGTTTTGTTTAGTGCTGCTATCTGTTGGGTTTTTATAAAACTATGTCCATGACGAACGGGACACAGTACGTGCTATAATACATTGGACGAAACCAAATTTTAAGGTTTTCGCACACTCATCCACACAGCGCATTAGCTGTTCCCACCACTGGCCGCGGCTCGCCATCACGCAACTGCAATGCATTACTGAATCTTCTATCCCAAGGCTTCTATCCAATCTGATTTGAATCTTATTGTGAAAACATTGTTGACACATGTAATTACACGTAATACACACGGTAATTACAACATCCCATTAGCCTCCTGTGGCGCTTGGAGCAACTATTTTTTATATGAGATCCCATATTGTAATTAAAGAAAGGTTTATAACTTCAGTGCATTACGAGATGTATTTATCTCGTTCATTTCATGTTTACTAGTTGTTTTGTCAATAAAAATGCATTCTGTATGTACAAGTTTGATTTCTTTAAGATAACTGTACGCCGAAATATTGATGTGGCAATTTAGGGAAAAAGCCAAATAATGGGTCCTGCACTATGGGCTGGGTACAATACGAGACTTCGGGATCTTGAAACGCAGTGAACGTGTTAAGTGTATAAATAAACAGTTGCTTTGTTGATACAACTACATTATATGAAAACACTTTATTGACAGACAGTAACAACAACAAAAGTTGTTGACAATTATTGGGCTGTTTGATGGCATGTGAAAGTGAAATGAATCTGTGAATAACATACAAACCCAAATTTTACAGATCATTCTTTTAGATATGTAATGAGTTTACAGAGAAGCAGTATTAAGTTTACTCCTTAAATTTATCTGAACGTATTTCATAAACAAATAATGCATCAAATATAAATTTAGTAGACTAATAATACCAATACCTCAGTCATTCAAACATATAGCCGTAGAAATCAGACAAAAGTATACCTGCCTACTCATAATATGTCATAATACATTTTGAGACAGTCCACATAGTTTTGTTTTAAAATATATATATATAATTTATAAATTTGTTTGACTGCTTCTCTGTTTCTAAAAAAGCCTTCTCTGTTTATACCTCAAATTTGACCAACCAATCCAAACAATGCACTATTAAGTACATTTAGAAAACAAATGTTAGTAAAATTTATCTAAATTTATTACTTTTATTGTTTTTTACTTAGTACAAGACCAATAACCAAGTCCATCCCCAAACGCCCAATAAACAAACACACAGCACACAATACCTGGCGGTTTCTTACAATGGCATCATAGGACTGTCTACTGGTCTCTATATTGGTGTTTTCATCCAAAGTTAAGTTTGGCATTTTAATGTCATCATCCAAATCAGGATATCCTGCGATGGGAAATTAGGTTAGGTTTTGGAAAATAGCTTATTGAAGCTCTGTGTAAGGGGTAAATATTTGATAGAAAACAGTCTGAGCACAGATAAGAACTAACCCAGAAGTCTCACTGAGACATTAAAACAATTGCATTTTCATCTGTTAGTGACTACACCAGAATCTAGGAGCGATGCTGTCGGTTACATGTAAATCAGGGATGGGCCGATTCGGTTCTCGATACCGGTATTGGAAAATCGCCGATACTTAATAAATTCGGTTCATTGTACTTGATACCGATTCTGAAAAAGGAGGTTAATTATTATGCAAAGCTCGACTGATGTTGACGGTTGTAAAGAGTGGGATGTCATAGTTTATTTGGAATACTCTGAAGTAAGCTAATATAAATATTTCCAAGTTCATTAGCTCACATTCCTAATTGTTTTATTATCCATAATAGTGGGCCTTTGTATTTCAAAACAAATTACATGTTCAACTAACAACCAGAAGAACACTACTGAATGATAGAGGCTTTTCAATTGCCGCCATGTTTTTAGATCGAGAGCGATGTTGCCAGATTGGCCAGATGATACAAGCATTGAATATATAAATATATATAATACTCACAAAGTGTATATAGTCAATGGTACAAATAGAACTCGGGGTTTTTACTCTTGATTGTCTTGATGTACATTTCATGAGCAGCTAAAGAGCTTGATAACTTTCTGATCATAGTGTATAATATCATTGACTATAAACACACTCTGTGAGTATATTTAATCAATGGTTGATCCTTTAACCCTCTAAGTGTCGCCCACCAAGAGAGTCGCCCATCGAGAAGGGTTTTCTAATGCATACGAGTGTCATCCGCCCAAAATCGCTTGCTTGCACAATGCTGGTGGTTAGTGAAGACGGACGTTTATTGATTTATTTTTATCGTTATATGTTGTTTTTCTCAGACTGAACTGAAACAGCTGTCATGAGTTTGTGATTAAGGAATTGTTTTGTTGTTGACTGCTGTGCATGTGTGTAGTGAATTGTTCAAAAATGGGTTATCATCTCCGTTCGAGTGCTGTGACAAACTCTGTGACTTTTATATGGTTCTGTAATTTAAGTGATATTGATGATGATAATATTGAAGATGACTTTGATATTGACTTTATTGACGTTGCTATTCAGTTTATAACTCAAGCAATATGGAACATTCATTGGGGTACAGTTTCTTAACTGGGCTATGCTAATATCGATTGAAACTATCGATTCAATTAGTAAACCTTCATTTGATATTTTCATCATCACCAAGTTTGGTTAGTTAGGTTAGGTTATAAAAGTTTAATTTCATAATTTATATACTTTAAAATATCGATTATTAATCGATATTTTCAATTCGATAGTTTCAATCGATACTAGCATAGCCCAGAGTTGGTATCGGAATTAACCAATTCTGGAATTAATTGCCCCATCACTAATATATATATAATGATCAGTTGATATAAAAGGTACAGCAATGCAAGTTCTCTCCCCTACTGCCCTCACATCTAGCCAAGTTTGACAACAGCGTTAGACACCAGCAGATTCAAATGCAAAGTTGTTTTATGACCAAGTCAAGGTTCTGGGTTAGATCTTTATTCTCTAGTCTGGAACAGTAACAAATAAATCTGTTTAGGAGGCTATTAAATAAGAACTAAATGTCTTAAGAAACATACTGCTTAAGAACGTAATATACCGAAGGAATTCAGCTGAAATAACTAACACCTCTACATTTTGTGCTGAAGAATAAACATGTCAACCAGTAATTTTCCTCCTGGACTAACACAAAGGCTGTACACTATTGGAGAGAACAAAAATTACTTATTCATCATTTTTGAGTGCAGCAAAAAAAAAATCACGCAATCAGAATAACAACAGAAAACTGATATTAGTACTTACTCAAATACCATATTAGAACAAATCCAGCTAAGAGTTGAACCAGCCACCGAAATAATATATTCATTGACAAAACCAGCAAGTTAAAATACAACACTAGAACATACAACTTAACAGTAGCAGTAGTATACAGCACAATACAACCCAGAGAGAAGGGCCACACCTGAGTCAACAATCACAATAGATTAACCTGAGGTACGGAGGAACAGTCCAGCTAGCTACCCTTATCTATCTGCCGCTTATAGGGGGGGCTGAGGTCAGATATCTTGATCAAAGGTATTTCTACCATCTGCAGCAAACTTTCATCGGAAGATTTGCAACCTGAACAATGCCACAACGCTCTATTAGGTCCCAGCTAAAGTTTAAGTAACAAAGATTCATAAAAGTAAATATGCGGGCTGCAGCAAACCTGAAGACTAAGTGAGTTTCCATTTCCCTGATTTGATTTTAAAAAATCTATTTAAATAACATTGGGTTGAACGAGTACCTAGGTTTGCTGCTACAGGAAGGGTAAGTCTGTTTTGGTAAAATGTTTAGCTTATTATAAAATAAATAAATTTGCCAGGTTTTATCAAAATATATCCATAAATAAACAAACTATAACAGTTTATTCATTCTCCATAAGAATAACATGGGAATTTTAAATTTACTTTTTTTATTTTCTCCATAACCAATAACCTTACAAACACTTCAATAGGCTAAACCAAATTATTTGTTTTTATAAGCTATTCAAATGGTTTAAAGATATAATGGAATAGTTATTTGTGTAACTAGTGGTGAAAGTGGCACTTTGCTGCACACGAGAGCAATGTTTACGCACGAGCCGCAGGCGAGTGCGGAATGATCTCGAGTGCAGCAAAGGCCTTTTTCACTCGTGTTACACATTATATTTTTCCTACAGTCACTATAAAGCATATAAATAATTAGTCTTTCAAACACTATACGACACGTTTTTAGGTTCAGCTGGCAACACAAATGGTGCCTTAGAGAAAGTAGTACCCGCGGTCCGTATCACTCCGCTATTTTTCCTCGGCAAGAAATGTGCTCCGCGTTTTGAGAATATAGTTCCGTATTTTTTTGTAATTTGAAGTGGTTTCCGCGCCTAAAAAAATGCTTTAAAGGTATTTTCATGTTTATTAAGATCGTAGGAATGTTTTAAAAACGTTTAAAAGAAAAGTCCAGAAAGTTCAGAAATACCGAAACTATAAACACGAAATGACAGGTTAAATCGTAGTTATAATAGTCAATCAGCTGCTCATAGTATTATTATCTTTAAGTGTTGCCAACCTATTTCCAAGCGTACACGGATTACGTGCATAATAGAACCACGCTGTTTTGTGTTGTTTCGATGGAATCCTGATGTGCGGCAAAGTATAAACTGTACGGCAAAGTATAAACCGTACGGCAAAGTATATATATGCAGCAATTAGCAGCTTTCTGTACTATAAACAGTACAAGGAAGCCAACTTTATCGGGTGACTGTAGGAAAAAGTATTTTCTGAAAGCCATAAACGAAAAAAAAACACAATTTTTACCCATAAAACACCGATCTGTGCTGGTTCTAGAATTTGTAAAAAAACGTAGGTTTGCAGTGTTTGCATCAAATTTGCGTTTTTTGTTTTCTATGATGAATAATGGTTATGAAATGAAAATGAATGATTTTCATGATATAAGTAGGTTCAATGATTTGACAGGATAACAACCACCGTTGATAAACATACAAATCACATAACTCTGCTACTTTAATAATGTTAAAGGTTATTCAATAATCAAAAATAAAATATAATGTCCATAAAGTAACTTATAAAGTTATTATTGACCAAGACATTTCCAAAGAATGAGGGACCAACATAGTCGTTTTTGGCTTAAGTATATAACAATATATTGCAATATAGGGCTAACCATATAGACTAGGGTATTAGCTACTATGCTATTGGCAAGTTTGCTAAAAGCGACATAGATTTAGTTATAAATTATTTGGGTATGATAACCTACAAAGCCTACCTGAGGCAATGAAAACATAATACCACTATTAAAATTTTTTACCCTACTTTGACACTTACAAAGGCTATTAAGTAGAATCGATGTTAGGGGGAATTGGATAGGAACTTCTAGGAGCAAGGAAAGTGTGTTCATCTGGAAAACATGACTATAGTTAAATTGTTATATTATAAACCATCTAAGGTGCTACGTGCTTAGGTGTCGCTCAAACCAACGATGAAGTTATCGGTTTAAGTGTGAGCGTTGCTGAGAGCGATTCTTCGTATAGTATAATTCTTTGTTTGTGTAGTAATCCCGTATACCTATTGGTTGGTTAATGCATCAGTTCAGTTCGAAAGCTGAACAATTTTCCAGTGTCCTTAGCAGCCATGTGTTTCTATTTTATTCTTACTTTATTTTTCCAGTAATGCGGAGACTGAACAAAAACAGTTATGTTTACGACTCACTCTAATGTTTGTTTTGAAAATATATTAGTTTTCATTTCATGTGTAAGTGTTAATTGCTTCTTTTCCTTAACTTTTGAATTTGCAAAGTACCAAATTTCTAAACCCAAGAAAAAAACATCGAGTTATTTAGTGAAAGCAACTACTTATCTTAAGTAAAATTATTTTGGTTATATTAGCTTTAAGGTCTCGGTTAGATTAGACTTCTTTCTCACCAGTGCGGTGCGGCCTAGGAGGATTAAACATTAAGGAGAGGGCACGCGAATAGGAATACACATGTTGCGGTGAAGCCAGCTTTAGCAGAAAACTAGAGGGGCACGCGGAGCCGTAGAGTGGCAAAAAGCCGCGGCTATAACATTGGAGAGATAGGGAAAAACGCGACGCGCACTGTTTCGAATTAAAATTGTCGCTAAACTAAAACACCTGTGTTATTCACCGATGGCATTCTTAAAGTAAATTAAATTTCCTATCGAACGGTGTCAATCATTTCTATAAACACTATTGTTTATTATTTATTACTGAAGATCAAAGTTAAAAGAATTGGCCTGGACTTTGAACATATCATTACTTTAATTACGTTTTTGAAAAAAATATGATGTATCTATACAAATCAACAATTTATTCGTATTCCTAAATAGTTTCGTGAAATAAAAAATATATATTTACCTATATTTAAGAGTGGTATTTAGAAAAATAATTACAATAAATCTGTTTTAATTTTTCCAGTTTATAAAACAATCTTACTAATTATAGGTTAAAGTGAAAAATTTAATTCGGGTGGTGAAATACATTTTACAGATTTGCATTTTTCATAGTTCTCTCGATTTGTTAATACCATGTTTTACTAGTTTTAAGGGATTTATGTGCTAGGCAGGTGATTTTAAATAGCTAAAGTTAAGATAAAATGTAAAGCCGCTCTAACTTTTTTTACACCAACAGCCGTTACAATTAAATTACAAACATAAAAAGTAAAACAATTTCTTGGCAATCAAATTCTAGATTTTTTAATATCATATTGAACTATATTTGATCTGTTTGCCCAAAGAAACTTCAAGTAAAAAGTGTAAAATGTTCAACAATCATCGCGTCTTCTGACGCCAAAGTGCGTTTATCATTCTTTTAAAGGATTAAAACTTATTTTATATTCTAATATTATGGTTAGAATTTAAGTTTTTAATTTTCGTAGCATGATGTAGTCCAAGTTTTAAATAGTTAATTGATATTTCTGTTACCAAATCTCCCACTCCCAGTAACCCATACAACGCAGTATGAGAGGGGGAGCGGGAGAGTAGCGCTGCCTCTCCCCCTCCCCAGTACGCTGGCTTCAACGAAACTACAGCGTGTCCTCTCCTTAATGTTTAATCCTTCTAGGGTGCGGTACCGTCCCGCTCCGTTGATGCTGGACGTCCCGTAAATCCCTTTCACACTAGCTGCCTGGATCCGGGCATTTTAATATTTATTTCAGTTTTCGTTCTGAGGCCGTAGGTTATGCATGGAAAGATGAACAAGAGAAAATTGGCTTTAATTTACATGCTGTACCTTAAAAAGAAATATTCCCACGACAGAAATGTATGGATGCACGCGGTATGTGTGTATAGGCCAATAGATGGCATTTTTTAAAAGTTATGGTGGCAGCTTCGGGGTGAGGAAGTGAAATTCTTCAACTTTTGTTTGTTGCGTTTTTTGCCATGTCATTCAAGGTGATGAAATCTGTGATTAGTTCCGAACACAGCTCTCCGCATGCTTCTGTTACCACAACCCGGTTATGATATTTTATGTCCCAGACGACTTGCCTTTGGGTAACCAAAGAAATGAAGTGCTCGATGCCAATTTCTTCCTCTATAAAGAAAACAACAAACTTCCCAATTAATTTAACACAAGTGCTTGAAAATGAACCACACACAATCACTGATAGACAGCAGACTGTTAAAACTACTGATTTATGTGTGGACGAAACCGGCCCATCCCGCCCAAGTGTGAAATCGTACATAAGAGCCCATGATCTAAAAACTAGCCATCCGGTTCCGTCCAGCATTGGAAATTTAGGTTCGTGCGGGTGATTTTTCAACCCGGACAGAGGATTGGGTCTGTCCGGGTGAACCCGCACTGTTGTGAAAGCTCCCATATGATTCAACAGCTTCGTACGGTGTGGGACGGTCCCGCACCGTGCTGGTGTGAAAGAGGGCTTAGTAATATAGTCTAAGTCTCGAGACCTGAGAAAACTCTCTCTTCCTTAGTTGAAAATGCTGTCAGTGAAAGTTAAATTAGCAAACTTGAAAAGTGGCAAACTGTGTATTTTATGGTCTTTTGCAATGTAGATGCATTTTTTCAAGACTTATTTACTCTTAGCATTTTTGCTCTAAACTTACTCGTTTAGGAGCTACATAATGCAAACCCACTTGTTTAAGAGTTACAGCCCATGAAAAAATTACTTCCGGTGTACATCTTGCATCATGTAGCTCCTAAATGAGTAGGTTTATAGCGAAAAAGCAGATCCGGTTTACACCGGAAGTAATTTTTTCATAGGCTGTAACTTCTAAACGAGTGGGTTTATGGAAAAAATGTCAAGAATAAAAAAGTTTTAAATTGCATGTTCTATCCAAAAACAAATGTAGGGTGTTCCATGAGAAATTTTAAAGTTGGTGGCCACATTGGAAATTTTAAACTGCCACAAAAAATTTATGAATATCCCCCCTCTAATTGAGGCAGAAATTTCCATTTAAAATTATTAAAACCAAGACTGGACCTAATAATTTTACACCTGATAAGCCTTCAATTGTTTTCACTAAAACTATGTGTGTTTCTCTTGGGAATAGAAACTTAGTGTTTTAATTTAAAAGCTAAGAAGAAAAATATAGTAATTTGTAAAATAGTTAACATTAAGTACGGTATTTCTTCATTTAAGTCTTTTCTAACAATTATTTTTCTATTATAATAATTCATAACCTTGCTCTTCAGCAATCAACCTTAAGGCGGAATTTGAGCCTACATTAAAAACGTGATAATTCTAATGACACAAGTGAAGACAATTACCTGCTAACTCTCGTTCTGCGATCTCCTTGTCCTGTTGTATGTATAGAGCAGTGAACAAGAAGAACAGTCCTCCAAGGACCTCTACAAAGTTGGTGGTGAAGAGTGCGTACTGTAGACTGTGGAACTGTACCTCAGGGCTGGGGTCCCCTGTCTCCACACTGCCTACAGCTGAGGACAAGGCCAGCACTGTGGTGCCTACTGCCAGTGACTTCTTCAGCATCTCTGATAGCTGCACATACAACGTCAACATGAAACTAGGTCTACTTGATTCTAATGCTATTCTGTGCTTTAGTTCATAAAATTGATTTAGTGACATATTTTTCACCTTAGGGGTTTGAGTAAATTACAAAGTAAATCATAACACCATCGAGATGTCTAATTTTTAATGGCCAATTTTTTTAAATTTTTAAATATTCACATTGCTTAAAATACTTACAGAAGCCATTCAAGCATCATATTGAGTTAAGTTTCTTTCAATGTACCTGCTAAACTTGTAGACAGGTAATAGGCAGAAAAGAATGTTTAGATGTTAGTCAGATATGTTTTAAAAATGAATGCTAAGTTAATTCTAATTAGTTCTAAGAAGTATGAAATACTTATACTGGAAATTCTGAGTGTGAAGATCTAACATAGGAATATTTCAAATGTGCTACAAATAAGACATAAATCATAAGAATCTTACCACTCCTACTAAATAGGGGCTGCCTGCATCTCCGAACATATGTGATATTAGGATCTGGAAAGCCTCAGCAGTTGATCTTCTAGTTGGAGTAACAACATACTGGAAATGGAAGCAAATATTATTAATTATTATTGACTATCAAGATTATAACTAGAGGTTTCATAAATGTTTTAAAATTGGAAAATATATTGGGCTATTCAAAAATATGTACCCAACTCATGACTTTGTAACTCAAAAAGTATAAATCGGGCAGACATAAAACTTAACACCATTCAAAAAGAAAATCTCGACGTTTTTTTTTTACCATAAAGCAATTTTAAAGAATTTGCAGCTGTGCAATCAGTCATACAAGAGATGCTGTCTTGTTTATGGGACAAATTCAATTATCGCTTAGATGTTTGCTGTGCAGCAAAGGGGTGTCACTTCGAGCATTTGTAATCAGTGTAAATAAAAATTTGAAATTAAAACTTTAAAACCCTGTATGTTGCCAAAGAAACCAAAGGGATATTTCTGAATATATTTATTCACTATTTTTACTAAGATTAAGTCCAAGCTTTTAACGACAAAACTCCCCAATCTTGTAATTGACTTGACTTAAATAGCCTTTTTAACTCTATTTTCTTATTGTATTTTTGTTCGGGCGTTGTCATGCAGAATCGTGACAATGGAGGTGTTACCAGCCCAGCCCACAAGCACATTTTGTCTGGCTTGCAGAATGCCAGCATAGGCCAAGAAAAAATTCTTTTAGATAGCAAATACCAATGATTTTCTCCCAAGATCTTGTGAACACCTGTGTTCCTCTATGATACGTGGTCATCGCCCATGATCAAGGCAGCATTCGTGAGCTGTATTGCGATCCCAACAATACCGAGATCGTCTCCCCTGATCACGGATACGTATCCATATTACTGGGTAATGACATTACCGTGACGTGCTAATTATGTGTTTAGTGCATGTCTCTCATTTGCAAATTTCTTCTTAATATATGAAAATCAGCAATAAAACTGTTGTGGCCGAGCCATCTATTACAGATCTGCCTAGAGCCTCGTCACCACCAACCTAAACATGTACGCTGAAGATTGTTTGCTAACATAAAAAAACGGATGAACACACCCCAATTAGTCCGTCGACCTCCTTGTTGGTAGAGACAACTGTTAAGAGGAAGAAATTAGTTCATTGACCATTTTCATGTAGAACTGACAGCTAGTTTCAGGAATTTTACAAGGTTGTGTAACGAGGATTTTGAAATACTTATATCACTGATTGGGCAGACTACAGTAGACTCCCTTTTAACCGGACATTGCTTTAACCGGACTAGATCAGCAGGGAGTAAGCGGTACTGAATCGAATGTTCTTGTGGGAAAGGTTTGAGACCAGAAAAAATATATAAATATAATACCGTTCTAACGAGTTTTTCGGCTCGTAGGTTTAATTGGAAAAACCGTTAACCGGACTGGCCTCGGTCCCGAGGAGTCCGGATAAGAGGGAGTCTTCTACTGTATATCGAAACAAGATACTAATTAACGCAATGCTATAATTAACTATAATCAACCGAAACTGATTTAACAATCAATTACAAAACTAATACAAAACACTATGGCCTAAAAAACACAAGCAAATGCCAAACTTGACAAGAAACAATGAAAACTGCTACTAGCTGCACGAGGAGAAACATTATTTTGACTAAAATGTTCGGTATGGGAGTGAACTTTTACAGCCAAAATCCAGTTCTCACCCCTACGCTCTTGAAAAGGCATCAGCACCACACCAACACCGAACAATGTTTGCCAGAAATGCGGAAATACAAAATGTCCGTCGAACACTGTTTGAAGAACATGTTCAGTTGGTGGAGGCGTGGCTTAGTTAAATGGAATTTGAAATTAATCCTAATCATCATAAATAACAAATTGCAACCCTAATGAGCTGTCATTTTGAATTATAAATGCAATAGTAATACTCTTACTAAATATTGTTGTTCTTTTTATCCCCTAAGCTTGCTAAACTGCTGTATTGTCAAGTTGTCTTGTCAACATCACAATTAAAAGTTCATTTAAGCTAATTTTGTAGTACTGAAGAAAAAGTTATATAATAATAGGTTTTTTACATACCTCAGTCAAATAGTCCAAAAATGGTATTGCTCAACAGCTATGGTAAGCTGTTGAGCAATACCATTTTGGGACTATTTGACTGAGGTATGTAAAAAACCTATTATTGTCTTAACAATATAGTCCAGGAGCCGAAAACATGAATTTTGAAAAGTTATATAGTAGAACCTCCCTAATCCGACCTCCGCTGGTCCGACTCCTCACTTGGTCCGACCGTGCCGCCAACACAATAGGCTTCCACTAACATAACCTCATTGTCCAAGAAAAATACCCAGAAAACTTTATCAATTGTGTTTTTTTTTTTTTGTTTAGTTTAATTTGTTGAAATTTGTTGTATATTTAACCATGTCTGCCCATTATTAATATTATTAAGTAGGCTCCCACATTATTGTTTTAAAAAAATCACAGTTCATTTGACAAAAATAAAATGAAAGCAAAACAAAGGAATCCCGATCAAGGCTTCCAGGTCAAGCTATCCGTTTGCACTGACAATCGTCTGCTCCTTAGGCCTACACATGACACATTTCATCTGTCTGCTGGGCGCTTGCTATGTCACAACATTTTGTGATTGGGTATTTGGGTTTATGGGGTAGAAATTGGTTTTTCTCATTTTTGACCCTCAAAACACAAAATTTCCTAATTTATCTCTAGATCTTAAAGATCTAAAAAAAAAAACACAAATAATTTAGTATACCAAAGTGTTTTTGTACGGTTATTGGTAACGGAGAAAATTCAAAAAATTTTAAATTTAAAATTCCCATGTTAATCTTATGGAGAATATTAAAAATGTTGTATTTTGCTTGTTTATGGATATATTTTGATCAAACTTGGCAAATTTATTTATTTTATACTAAACTATTAATATTTTACTAAAAAACAATTTATTAGTTTCAGTTTCCTTGTAGCAGCAAACCTAGGTAGGCTACTCGTTAAACCTAATGTTATTTAAATAAGATTTAATCAAAAATCATCATTGAAAATCAAGAAATGGAAATTCGCTTAGTCGGCAGGTTTGCTGCGGCTGGGGTATTTAATCTTGCAAGCGCATACGAAAATCTTTCAAAACAAAAAATTGTTTGTTCATGGGCAAAGTTGTGGCCTTCTCTTGATTTATTAGAAAATTACAAAAAAATCAAATCCTCTAATGGCAGTGACAACAGATGACAGTGTGACAACAGACACTGAGCTAAATGACTTGAGAGAAGCAATAACTAAACAATTAGTAGAGAATCCAGAAGAACTGACATCAGCCGATGTTACCGCCTGGTTAGATGTACACGTACAGTATTTAGTGATTATCTTTGTTCATTGATTGAAATTGTACTGTACTGTTATTTGCTGTTTCATATCACATTTTCTTTTTCATAACAATACATTAAACAACATTTCATTAGGCCTATACTGTACAGAAATTCAAACGATTGTTATCATAGTTTTCGTAAGCAATAAAAATGTTGCTTATTGTAAAACTACATAATTTTCTGATGCATTTCCACTAATCCGGTATTTTCTATAATTCGGCCCTACTAATCCCCATATAGAGCCGCATTAACGAGATCCTACTGCAGTTTATTTTACACAGGCCTCCTAACCAAGTTCTGCCACAGACTGGGGAGACTACTTGTCCTTTGATCAAACATCACCGTTTGGTGAACTAAGAGAAACTAAGCCCAAGCATAGCATAGTAGTTCTAAGCTTTCATCTCAGGTTGCAGCACATTTCAGGAAAAGCATTCACTTGTTTTACTTGAATGCTATCATAAATAATAATTGTAAGTGAAGGTTTGACTGTGTCGCTTGATGTTTGATATTTAACTTTTAAGGCTCATAGAGTTGAAATACCATAACTCTCAATGTATTTATTGAAGATAATTTTAAATAAACAGAAAAACATGCTCTTATATTTGCACCTGTTCACAAAACAAAACAAGGGGAGGAATAGAACAGTATAACAGTATGATTCTGGACAAGTTCAACTCAAAACATCACTGCCCTAGATATAACTACATGAACCCTCCAACTATTACTCGATATTGTGCAAAATTGTCCACACACAAATATGAGTCAAAACATTTAATGAAAACAATCTCATATAATGTTAAAAAGTCCTTTCAGATCAAGTACGCAATTAAGACTGTCGGAGTAAATATAAAGAATGGTTTAAAATTATGTAACACAATCAACCATGCTCTTTCATCAATCTAAGTGATAACTTAACCATTTTATTAAAAAATATTTGAAAGAAATCTGAAAAAAATTGCAGTAGCCTATTTACTGAACAAAAAAATACGTAATGATTTGAAATTTTAACAAATATCAAATTATACTGTAGCGAAATAAATAATTAATTATACAAGTACGTAAGGTATATAATGAGAAGCCAGTTTGGACACAATAAACTGTATATATAGGATCCCAGCACAAGGGAAATCTGTATTTGATGAAGGAAGTTAGCCGTGTATCCTATCATCTATGGTGTAAGCCAACTATGTCCTTTTTGTTAGATAAATAAAGGAACACAAAAAACAAGGCTGCTAAGTAACTAATAGCTGTCTCTAAACCGCGCTAAGAGGTGCTAAGAGTGCATTCATTCAAAAGCTAATAAGTAGGCTAAACGCATACAGGTTAATCAAGATCCACTTCACTCAAAACACACACAGATTAAATAGACAATTGTTGCAGATATTGGCTGATCAGTGATCACTGACCAGGTCTATATAACTCCACAATCAAACCATAGCAAGGATGGAACACCACTCTCAGTATCACCTTACCAGAAGTATATCAGAAACTATCGACCAGTTGAGATTTATAAAGAGTTCAGCAAAGAAAACCATCGAGTAGACAACAACTGTATTCCAACTGGCAGCCTTCAAGAGCACTCCAGCAGTGAAGATTGCACTTGTAAACAGACCAGCACAGCAGATGAGTGCATCGTATCTCAAGGACCTCACACGTAACCACCGGGATAGGGACGACCCCAGTGGGACCCCAATCAGTCCAGAAACCATCGTAACCCCTCCAAACACCAGATTAACTCTGAAAAACGAACAAAGTTTTTAATAGCGTTACTTACCAATAAAATATCTGCCACAATAGACCAGTTTAGGTTGAGGAATAGTTCACCGACGAAGATGAGTGTATAGCAGATATAAACGTTGGAGCTGGCATAGAGGGACGCAGCAAACAGTAACGGGGCACTGCAGATGAGACCACACGCGCAGATGTACGGGTCTGCACGAGGATAGCGCACACGCAGGTTCTGTGCAAGGAATGATCCGGCCGGAACACCAATGAGGCCCGAGATCATGGTGATGATCCCAAACTTCAAAGAAACACTGCAAAACAAATCATACTTACAGAGACAATATTGGAATTGTGATATAATTTCAATATATTGAATCAGTATACACCCTCAGGCCTCAATATCAATATTTTTGTAACATCAGGTCAGTGTTAGGCAGTGCTCGATTTGGGGTGGAACAGATTTCCAGTACCTCTCTTTCAGAAAGATAAAAATATTGGCATAAATATGTACATAAATAGGTTCTAATGACATTAAATAGGTTACAGTTCCCGCACATCATTTTTTACAAATCAAGCACTGGTGTTAGGTAATAGCAAGACCAAGAAAAAATTAAGTGTGTCTTACTATTTTTGTTAAAATATACACTTTTAAAACATCACAATTTTTTAAAGTTTTCTAATTATTTTTTTCAAAGTGGTGAACAAAGTTGTCAACTTTTAGTATGTATAAGCACATACATATAACACTCCACCCTCCCCTCCCCCCTCAATTACACTCCTGTATGACAAAGATATAATTTTTTATTATTAATTGTATGCATGTCAGGAGTAACCCAATGATGGACAATACACCTTGGTGATTTACAACAAATAGAATATCCTCAGTATGTTAGGCTAAACATAGGAGGATTAAACATTAAGGAGAGGACACGCTCGAGTTTCGTTGAAGACCGTGCGCCGTAGCGTTGTGAAGGGGGGGGGGGGGTAATATGTTTAGAGACATACATAATAATATTTTTAAGGCTAACTGAACATACCAACCAATAAGATCCGTTAGAATATCATATTAGAGATTTGATTTAGTTACTGAAATAGCAGTCAAGTATTCAAAAGATTTATTTAAGACTACATACATCATGCAAAAAACGTAAATTAGGATCACAATTTTAGAAACCTAACTAAGAGGTAGAGTAGTAAGAGGTAGTATTCATGAGCGAATAATAAATTTTAAGATGACCAGTTAATATGTTTTTTATTAAACATAACAGTTAAAGGATGAATGTTTTTATCTTTTGCCCTACCACAATGGTATTAATATTGATTATACCATTCATAATCATATACTCAAATCATTAAAAAATATAAGTATTTCCATGTTGCATAAAAAAACATCAAATAAGTTTTTAAACTATAAAATAATGATACATAAGCACTGTGGCGTTAGGGGATGCGAGAACTGAAACATTTCACTGTTTACTCTAAGTTTATTTGATATTTCTTAACATCGAGCTCTCATAATATGGCTCATTATGACATTAAAAAATCAAAAAATTGAATGCATAAGAAAATGTTTTATTTTTTGTGTTTGTAATTTAATTGGAACGGCTGTGAGTGTAATAAAACAAAAGCGAACGCCGCATTGAATTTTTTCTTGACTTTGGCTATTTCAAATCACTTGCCTAGTACATAAATGTATTAAAACTAGCAAAAAACGGTAGTAACAATTTTAGAAAGTATATTTATCCCTACTTGTGTGCCCTCTCCTTAATGTTTAATCCCCCTAGTAGGGGTAAACCCAACTAGAAACTAATCTAAATCCATTTAGTTTCTCTTAGGGTTTTCATCTGAAAACATTAACTGTCTAACTTACAATATCAGTACTGGATGGTTGTGTTCATAATTACCTATATAGGCCCTATTGATTCAAAGATCTATTGCAACCACATGACTCACTCAGACAACGACACATCCTCATATCCTGGCTGCAGTCTCAGACCCAGATAGATGAAGTGAGGTCCCCACCAGGCCAGGGCTCCAGCGACAAATGACACACACGTGAACCCAGCTGTGGATAGCATGAAGCTTGGGCTGTAACAACCAACCAATCATAACTATATATACACCAGTATTGTGCAATAAACAATAGTAGTTTCACATGTTCACTAACAGACGTCACATGACTTGATATACACAAGACAAGGGTACACAAAACGTGTTCAAACACTTACATACAATTACAATATTTACAATATTTGGGTGAAACTAACAATATTTGACAAAGCAAATTACGTAGTAAATATAATGTACATATTTGATTCCAGTATGATCAAATTTATCCGTATTGACTTTACTTGTAAATTAAAACTGTTTGCCAAATCTGTTGAAGGGTGATCAATAGCTCTAAATTTGGTTCTAAATATTTTTGATTTCTTTCAATTTTGAGACATTTTAATTTCAAAGTCCATTTATGACTCATTGAATGGTAAAATTACTCACTTGTGAGACACAAGAGACACAGTAATGCAGTGATTGAATGTTTTGTCAATTGACATCCACTTGCTCGATGATAGTGAACATGAGAACATAAACATAACTCGTTGAGTCTGATTAGACTACTACTGATTTTCCCCAGATTGAAAGTTAACACCTTTATAATAACAGTTACACTTGGGACTGAGAGATGAAAGTAGTTAACTGACTGGGTATTTAGTTGAGGAAACATTGAGTGGCTAAGAGTGATCCCCACTTTATTACTGTTACAGCCACCAGGAGTGCCTATAGGGAGGGCTCATTTGTCATTCCAGAGCTCTGGAACGAGAAGGTCGTGCATCTAGTGCAACGACATAGGGTACTTGGAGGAATCCAGTAAAGATTGGAGGTTTATACGATGTTATATTTTCTTGAGTTCTCATTAAACTGTTCTTTCGCCCATTCAATGAAATAGCCCGTTAAAAACACTTGAAAACAGAGACACTTAACAGAGATTGACAGCTGAAAGAGAGTGGCGGTTAATAGAGGTTCCACTACAGTATGTGAGAGTTACTCACTTGCGAAGGAGCAGTTTGATATCCCTGGACCAGGAGGTGGCGTGTAGGTGAGTCTTGCCTTCACTCTCCCCTCGCTCAGGGTTGGTCATCACAAAGAGGATGAGTACGACAGCGACCATCCCTACAACAAACATATGTGTCTTTGTAATGAAATAAATAAGTCTAAAGACATGTAGACTAATAAGTCTTAAAACGTATGATTTTATAAACATTTAAGAATACAAATGCTGACTTTTACAATAAATCAGACAAATTTGAATCACAGTCGAGAAACAGAATTTGCATTAGCTGTCTCAAATTGTACAGATTCTTATTTAATTTGTTTTATACAACTGAAACCTTTTTCTTCATGAAACCAAAAATAATGGAAATATATTTTTTTATATAGCGAAAGTTATAAGTTTTGTGTTTTAAAGATAGTCAAACAACTGTTAACCGTAGCTTACCTAACACAGGAGTGACTCTAAGACCATTCTGCCATACTCCAGTCATTCTACCAGTCTCAGAACCCACGATGTAGCCAAGCCCACTGAAATACAAGTATTACAGGATAAATTAACACTTCTATACAGAATTTATTATAAAGTGGGATTTAGAACATATTTACTTCCAAATTATACGTCATTTGTTTGTCACTGGCGGATCTAGAACAGTTACAAGGGGCGGGGGTAGTCCCCCCCGAAAAATGTTTGTAATTTAACCGTCCAAACTGGCAGTTTTACACCATTATTTATTTGTACAAAGTTTAGTAAACAAATATTAAAATAGCCATTCAACTTTTATTGAGAACAGAAGTTTTCAACTACCAACTATTCATTATTATTATTATTATTATTATTGTCATGATTATTTAATGGAATAATTAATTTTATAACATGAAGTAAAGCGCAAACACTAACCTTAAATTACTTGTTCATTTTTTAATCACTGTTGATTCCTAGATTTTGCACAGTCGTGAATTATTGTCTTTGTTTTGTCTTAAATACTAGTCTGTGGGTATGGCTTTTAACTGTTACATAAATGTAGGTATTCTGTATTAAAAGAAACAAGCAAAACAACGTGTTTTTATTTTGTTTAAAAAGTGTCATATTGACAGTTTAGTTGACTGCTTGATTTATTTACAGCTGTTTTGTTTGATTTGCTGTCCAATGCTATTTAAATGGGACAAACCCGTACTTTGAGGGCTTTCACATGCCGAGTTGACGCCCCCAAAAGGCAAATATAGGCGTTAAAGGCTTTCAAACGACACATAAGTCATCAAAATCAACCCAGCCATCAAAATTAGTTTAGCCATAGTCTTCTTAACAAAAATCGTCCTAACAAAATGTTTTGGACACAGCCCGGGTGGAAATTTTGAAACGCCTAAGCGCTGTTTTGTTGCAGTCAATAGATTAATTGTAATCTATTTTTGTTACATGAAAGTAAAACACACTCAGAAATTATTTTCTTTGTAATCATGTGCTTGTGGACTTATTTCAAACGCCTGTAAATCTCATGATAAATTATTGGTATATCTAGACATTTTTCTGTTTCATCCAGTGTAAGTTTATACCCGATGGGAGGCGCTATAGCCACCTTAGCCCCCCCAATAGATCCATCACTGTTGTTTGCATGTTATTCTGATTCTGAGCTATTCTTCCACAGGTTTGTAAAACCCCCTAGACTTAAAAATTATTTACCTTCCAACAGGTATGGCGAAGTAGAAGAGAGCAAGCATCTTGGAGCGCTGATCTTGTACGAATAGGTCACTGATGATGGTGGGAGCAATGGTAGAGTAGCTCGCCTCTCCCACTCCCACAAGCGTGCGGAATAGCAAAAACCAGTGGTATTCCTTTGTTTGACAAAAATTTAGATTAAAAAAAGCTAAGACAATAATAATATCATCACATCAGTAACTTCAACTGGGTGTTACTTACTCCTTGTGGAACCTTTCACTTTTTACAATTGAACTTATTTTTAATTGTCCTGCTCTTTATTATATTTAACAGGCAGGTAATGCTAACTCTGTTTAAAAGCGTGTTGATTTTTCTGTCTTATTAAATTGCTGATGTTTAGTACCTTATGTTAGAATCAGTTACAACAATATAAGAGCAAAATTTGATAAGAATCATCTACACGGACATCTTTTTAGAGTTACTAAAATACATTGTTATACACTTTTATAACTATGAAGTTATTCGTACCACCATGAAGGAGCCTATAAGTGTTGTGAGACTCCACAAGAACACTCCAGCAGCCATGATGGCTCTGCGACTGTAGCGGTCACCGAGGTAGCCGAACAGAGGAGCAAACACCATGTAGCTGATGACAAACGCTGTCTGTAGGAGTCCACTCTTGTCATCCGACAGGTTAAAGTACTTCTCTATGTCTGTCAGGATACCTGCAATCACAAAAATGTTACAGTATCATTTAGGTTAATGATATTTTACACATAAGCCTATTCTATCAATCATATCCTTGTAGCATCAATCCATTTTATCAGACAAAAACATCTACATGTTTAAGAAACAATACAAAAACCATTCAAGGTTTGTCTGAATAGCATCATAGTTGTACAGTTGTTGATCTGTAAGTACTTGGAAATAGCGTTCAAATAGGTAAAAAATAGTTTACTGAGAGTAGGTGATGAAATTTCATGGTCCCTGCCAACATCCCACAACTCCGCCACCTCCCCTTCTCTAACATTTAGACCAGAGGACAGGACTGTCGGATGTCATAATGTCACTATCACTCTGTAGTGCTTTATCCAAATTATCGTTTGCGCTAACATCAAATTCCCAACAGGCTGACAACTTTTGTAACATTTATGTAGCATAGTAAAAAATATACCTACAGGTGATGTCAGTCCGTGTCAGAGATTCTAATTTTAATTCATATATTGAATTGATTTTTAAAAATCTATGCATATATGCAAAGGATACAAAAAACAAAATAAAATAAATCTGTATTTTCGTGTGTGTGTGTGTGTGTAGATAGAATTATTGAAAAAAGAAGAGAGTGATGTACAGTATTGGGAGAGACTAGAGTGGTGTGTGTGTGATGTGACTGTCAGATAGAGGTATAAGCAGCAATTGGACAATAGGCACTAGACAGGAATTTATGATAGTGTGGGTGGTTGACTGATATTATAATGGAACTGGTCACTGGTCACTCAAGACATCATTAGTCTGTGTTGTAGGAGAAGGAAGCAGTGAATCTGGTGTCACCAGTGTATACAACTCTTATGAAAATAACACTTTGTTAGTGAGAACAAGTTGGTATCTCATTCATATTAAAACAAAAAACAATTTTAAAGCATTGTTATTTTTATTGGAGTTTTTAAAGCTATGCCTATATACAAGCAAGACCTATATAACTATAGTTTTAAAGAATATGTTTTAATGTCTTTAATGTTCAACATTTGTATAAGAAATTGTTATTTGTGTAACTAGTGCTCCAAGTGGTACTTTACGCTCGCGTTACACTGTTTCCTAAATGTTACTTTAAAGCATATTATAATAATTAGTCTTTTAAACTGTTTGGTTAAATCCAAGCATTGAACGAAAATAGAATTAACACGAAACAATAGGTTAAGTCGCAATATCAATAGTCAAAGGCTGGGAATAGTAAATCCAGCTAATACCATTGAATATACAGGGTGACAAAAAAGTGTGGAATCGGTTTAATATCTTTTTAACTAAATCCGTTAGAAAATTCAAACCTTTCACATCAACTTACAATTATGAAAACTACTTTTTCCAAGCATTATAATTTTTTGACCTCTACCAGGTGACGACCCATGAAGAGTAGGTACATAATCTTTAATGTAAGCCTAGGTTGATATGCACATCATTTTAAAGGTCTGGTCAAGTGAAGTTCATTGCCGGAAACCACGTCAGAAAAAGTTTATCCGTTACAAAATTGCGGCTGTCCAAAGTTCTTGCGGAATATACCTGCAGAGGCCTTAGTATTGGTAAATACTCGTATTAAACATTAGCTTGAGAGCTAAACTTGTATTTTAAACTAAACTAGCTCATAGACTAATATTACTCAAATTTCAATTTCAAAACAAATTTAACCAGGTTTCAGATTTCCCGGCTAATGTTGACTATGAGTATTTACCAATACTAAGGCCTCTGCAGGTATATTCCGCAAGAACTTTGGACAGCCGCCATTTTGTAACGGATAAACCTCTTTTGACGCGGTTTCCAGCAATGAACTCCACTTGACCAGACCTTTAAATTGATGTGCATATCAACCTATGCTTATATTAAAGAACATGTACCTACTCCTTATGGACCGTCCCCTGGCGAAGGTCAAAAAATGGTAATGCTTGGAAAAAGTAGTTTTCATACATATAAGTTGATGGTAAAGGTTTGCATTTTCTAACGAATTTAGTTAAAAAGATATCAAGCCGTTTCCAGACTTTTTTGTCACCCTGTATAACACTCTGTTATAGAGAGTTACATATTCAATGCTAATACTGATCATAGTCAGAGTATGAGGTGTTGCCAACTTATTTTTAAGCATACACATGTTACAGCACATTGTTTTGTGTTGTTTGGTTGGATTACTATAGTGCGGCAAATGAAAATGAGTGTGGTAAAGTAAAATGAGTGCGGCAAAAGTAAGTAAATGCAACAATAAGCTGCTTTGTGTGTTATAATCAGTGCAAGGAAGCTTTGTCAGGTAACTGTAGGAAAAGAATTTGGTAGTGGTGCATTTGATATGAGTATTGAAGTAACAAAATGTCAAAAACAATTGTTTTTATCATTAAATTGTGTTTTTAAATTAAACGTATTATGTACCCAGATCATATTGCATATAAATTAAGTTTTTTTTGTACTACTGTATTAAAGACTGCTTGGCACTTTGAGTGCTGCCAAAACATTACCTAGTTAGGTGGATATTAAAGTTTACCACAGTTGAAATGAATAGCACCGGCTTCAATCAGCTGACACGTTTACTGCAGTAAAACACCTGATCACTCATTTACATGTGATAGTGTCTGGAAACTTGCTCTATAATGTCAACATACAGCCTTCAGTAACTACAGTGGCTGGTTGGAAAATGCAATGATATTGAAGATTAATTAGAGTTTGCGCTAACACTCAGCAACATTGAGAAATGGGCAATAGAAACAATTTATGGAAACAATCCTTCAAGACAGTCTTAAGACAATATATCATAATAAATTATATGTTATAAAAGTATTTTCCACTTATTGCTTCAATACTACAAAAGTCGAAATTGAATGAAGGATACTACAGTACTTGGTCTCTAGATAACCTTTAAAAAATACTTTGCCTAGGAATACACTTTTTTATACATTGGTTATTTTTTTCCTACAGTTACCTAACAATGTACATGTTCTCTCACTGATTTGAGAAAGCAAAGTGGCCAATTCGCTCATCAGTGAGACAATGTTAACATTGTCTCACTCTAATTACTTTGTCTCACTCCAGATTTGCAACGTGAAGGCACGAAATAGTGAACGTGTAACATGCAGGCAACGTCGTATGCGCGCGAAATATGTTGGCAGCACTGGCTGTAAATCAGCTGGTCAGCTGTTGTACTGTTGTATTTGTCACTTCACATTAAATGTTATATTAAAAGTTCACTTCTGTGTAAAAATAGGTTATGTTTCTTCACAAATTTATTTGTTTTATGGTAACTGTAGGAAATAGTTATTTGTGCAACTACTGTAGTGAGAAAAGTGAGCAATTGACTCACTCGAGAGAAATCCTTACTCACGAGCCGTAGGCGAGTGAGGAATGGTTTCTCGAGTGAGGCAATTGTACTTTGAACTCGAGTTGCACATTATACTTTTCCCACAGTTACCATAAAACAAATAAATTTGTGAAGAAACATAACCTATTTTTACACAGAAGTGAACTTTTAATATAACATTTAATGTGAAGTGACAAATACAACAGTACAACAGCTGACCAGCTGATTTACAGCCAGTGCTGCCAACGTATTTCGCGCGCATACGACGTTGCGCTCACTATTTCGTGCATTCACGTTGCAAATCTGGAGTGAGACAAAGTAATTAGAACATTGTCTCACTGATGAGCAAATTGGCCACTTTGCTTTCTCAAATCAGTGAGAGAACATGTACATTGTTAAGTAACTGTAGGAAAAGTATAATTTGCAACTCGAGTTCAAAGTACAATTGCTTCACTCGAGAAACCATTCCGTGAGTAAGGATTTCTCTCGAGTGAGTCAATTGCTCACTTTTCTCACTAGTTGCACAAATAACTATTTCAGTGTTTAGCTACACAACTGGGAAAGGTAATATTTTGAAACTAAGATGCAGTTGACTTTTGTTTCTAAGATATTTGGAAAGAGTGTTAATTTTATGTTTCTATAATCAATGGTAAGAATTTAAGGGTCTTGGAATTTTGAAACGGTCAAAGCTACTTACTTGCTATAAAATTTACCAACATTTAACCAGCTCTTTCTTAGTTTATTTTGTCGATAAAATATTTACATTAATGAAATTTGTGTAGTTATTAGTTAACAACAAGGATATGTTTGATAAACTTTAGTCTGAGTTAACAAAAACGGACTGTTAGGTATCAAGATCAAGTTAAGTGGTACAATTCAATTTTGTTTCTAAATTAAACGGATTATGAAAGAACCATTTTTAAGGCATTTTCAAGGAGCTTAACTGTCTATTCTGCATCCTGACCACGTTGCAAGGCTCGGGTATAGCGGCTAGTCCATTATAAAACGAAAATTGAAGATTCTAATCAAATGAAATGTAAAAGCTTTTAGCCCTGTACTTGAGAATATGGTACTTATAAAATTAGTTTGCGAGTTTCAAGAAAATTGCACATGTATAATAATTAATACAACAAGTTGAGGTAAAGAGATTCGTGTCGGGAAGGTTGGGCTGGTCTACAATATACTGTGTGGAGAAAGAGGGGAGAGAAGCAGACGCGTTGCAATGAAAAGGACCTTTGGACATTTTGCTACAGTTAATTATATTCCCAAACAAACCTAAAGAGTTTAACTCACTGCACACTATGTAATCCAACGGAGGGAATCGGTTATTACATGGATATCACACGAAAACGTAATAGGGTTAGCTACACTAAACGCTAGTTAAATAGAAAACAACAACCTAAATAAGTCAACCAATATATGTAGGGCCTACCGGTACCATCCTCCAGGGTGAACACATAATATATTTGTTCCTGTGTATAACGTTTTTAGTAAAATAAGTAAATTTATCCAATGTCTGCTGGTAAATGACACGAAAGAATAGAATTATTCTCATGATGACATGCTTTAACTATTGAAACGGGGTTATCCAGTTATCTTTAAAAGTGCTGAACATTTGTATTTATTACATTAGGATATATTTATTTACAATATAAATTCAGAAAATAGCCC